GCCGCTACCGCTGCTACTGCTGCTGCTGCTACTGCTCCTGCTCCTGCTGCTGCTCCTCCTCCTGCTCCTGCTCCTGCTGCTGCTCCTCCTCCTGCTCCTGCTCCTGCTGCTACTACTTCTGCTACTACTGCTACTGCTGCTGCCACTGCTACTGCTACTGCTACTGCTCTGCTACTGCTAGTGCTACTGATGCTACTACTGCTGCTACTACTACTACTACTACGACTACTACTACTACTCCTGCTCCTGGTCTTATACCTACTCGGACTCCTACTCCTACTCCTACTCGTACTCCTGCGCAGCAACAGCAACAAAGCAACGACACAAACGTTTATGTGTCTTTGACAACGCTGCTCCTTCAGCTGCTCTGCTGATAAAGTGGCGTTGGCATCATTACAACCATCATCAGCATCATCATCATCAGCATCATCAACATCGCCACCACCACCTGCAGACTCATCTTCATTACAACCACCATCACCGTCATAATCATCATCACCATCTCCACCCTCGGAATCAGGTTATTCAGCATCATCTTATGCTTTGTCAACATCACCAGTAACGTCGTCACAATCCTCATCGTCATCGCCGGCATCATCATCACCACTACCAGCAACATCACCACCCTTAGAACCATCTTAACCATTAACACCATCATAGTCATCGCCGTCATCGTCACCATCATCATCACCAGCATCATCATATATCATCATCATCACCATTGTCATCATGGTATTCATCGCTTTTCTTCATCATAATTATCTACTGCCATGTGGTCAGAAGTATCGTGGTGATTCTGGCACCTGGGGGGGTCTTCGCAAATCCTTTGTAATCTCTTTAGGTTTTGCATGTACTTTTTGGGATGATGGCTTAGCGTTTGTCCCGGTTGACACAGCATGTTTCGAGCACTGTAGTAGCGGTCTTGCCCGCAGTTTAAGCAGTGAGCTGTGCCCAGGGACTGTGAACGAAGTACGCCGCCGCCCCTCGGCTTGCAACTGCTCCGGGTGTGGGTTTGGTGTTTGGTGTATTAGTCCTTGCGCCCACAACGTTCCGGGGCAGCTGTTGGAACCCGAGCTTGCTTCAAGGCGCTTGTTTTGCTTCAATCGGCTCAAATTTGGAGAATGGCTCACATGTGCGACGGGCCTTTTATAATCAAGACGAGCCTTATAGAACCGCGTTGGGTTTTGAGCTAGATGGGCTTCGAAGCCCCGCGAACCTTAAGGCGTTTATCGACTAAGCGAGAAAGACGTCACACCTAGACCCCCAACCCCCTAAACACAGCCGTAACGAGACCCCAGGGTTTGGAAGGGCTGCTGATATCATGGCTGTCCGTCGGAGAGGATGTTATACAAATACGTCAATAAAAACCAATGAGCAAAACATGTACATGTGTGTGTATATATATATATATATATATATATATACATCTATATATATATATATATATATATATACGTACACACAGACACGCACATGCAACGCAACATAGGGTTTTGACCCAATAGACCCACAACGGCCCTACATCGGAAAGCCAAAACCATAAACACCAGCAGGTCCGCGACCCAAAGCCCTGAACCCCCAGAGAGAACCCCTATACACTTAGGAGTGAAGCCTCAATCAACCCTCTATAGATATCTTCAAAAGCCTACCCTAAACCCTAAACCGTCCTGCAGAGGCCTAAGCCCTAAACCCTAAACCCTCCTGCAGAGGAGCTCAGCAGAAGTTGAAGACTGGACTTCAGACCCTTTGTTCCAAGGCTCGCTTCGTTTGCTTTGCGCCGTGCGTGTGCAGCAGTTGAGGGCCCGGGGCTCGCCCTAAATCCCAAACCCCCGAAGTTTAGGCTTTAGGGCATTGGGCTTCAGGGGTTTAGGGTTTTGGTTTCAGGCTTGGGGTTTGGGGATCAGGTGCGCGGGGTTTAGGAGATGCTAGCGGTTCAGGGTTTAGGAAGCACTCTGACAAGGCGGGGCTAGCAATGACCTGTGACAGGATCGCGAGCTATGTGGTCGCATGACCCTGCGGGAAGCTGGTGTGCAGGATAAAGTGCGGTGCCCGGATGGTTGACTCGTGAGGTTTAAGGTTTGTATTCAAGTGTCTCCGGGGCTTGGATTTTGCGTCAGCTTCAAGACACTTCAAGGGATACTTGAATTGAAGTAGTGATGGTCTTGTGGCCGGCTCGAGTGTTTGCAGCAGTGAGCTTGCCCTCACCTCCTGGAAATTAACTAGTCTGGCCAGAACCGATTACTATCAGTTATCAGATTTCCGCTTCCACTGCCACCTTCAGCCACCGCCCCTGCCACCGCCACGACCGCGATAAACCAAACCCAAAGCCCAAAACGCCTAAAGCCGATGAGCTGCAACCCTAAAGTCTACTCTGCGCCCTACAGCCTAGGGTCCAAAGCCTAAACTCCAGCCCTGAAGCCTAAATCTTATCCCTGAAGATTAGACCCCAAAGTCTAGACCTGCGTATGGGTGGTTGTCAAAATTATGGTCCGTTTATGGGTACCTGTTTCAATAGGGTACCCAAAAAACGGAACCCTAATTTTGACAACCACCCATACAATCCCTCTAGCCTTGTCTCAGGATGTGCTCCAGGCCATGGCTCGCAGTGCGCAGATTTATGCCAGCCGTTGGTCGAAGGCCTTCGCTGCCCCCAGGCTTCACTTGCTTCGGATTGAGGCTTTTAGGGTCTTAGGGTTTCAGGGTTTTAGGCTTTTTAGGCTTTATTAGGGTTTATTAGGGTTTAGGGTTTTAGGGTTTCACTGTTTAGGGTTTTAGGGTTTAGGGTTCAGGGTAGGGTTTAGGGTTTGGGCGGTTAGGGCAATTAGGGGCTTTCGGGGTTCAGGGGTCTAGCGGTTTTCGGAGCTCGACGGTTGCGGTTTAAGCTGCAGAGTTTCAAGGTTTAGGTTGAGGGCCTATAACTATATGGGTGGTTGTCAAAATGCGGGTCCCTTTTTGGGTACTCTAAACATTCGGTGCCGTACTATAATAGGGACCCACAGCGGGACCAGAATTCTGACAACTACCTATATAGTACTAGTACTATTCTGGAGTCTGGTACGCCGTGGCGGTGCGTATTTACAGTAAAACAGTACTTTTTCTCGTGTTAATTAAATGGGTTGCCCGACGTAACGCGGAATAAGGAGATGACCTTAAGCTGCGGATGTGTTTCTTTTGCAAGCTAGCTGGGAACTTGGAGGTGCGTATGTGTACCAATCGAAACATGAATGACCCTTATAAACCCTAAAACCCTAAAACCCTCAGACCCTAAAATCCCACACCCTCAAGCGCTGCGGCCCCAAATCCCTAAACCCTAATGTTTGTCCACGCTTTTGGCATGTCTATCACTTCCCCCCTCGATTCTTCCGTTCTGTCTGGGATTAGGGGGAGGCTTCGCTTAGGGATTTAGGGATGTATGGTGTAGGGGTTTGGGGGTTTAGGGGTTTCGGGTTTAGGGGTTTAGGGTTTAGGGGCTTACGGTGTAGGGGTTTAGGGTCTAGGGGTTTAGGGTTTCGGGGTTTAGGGTAGGGGAGGGGAGTCCAACAGGGGGTATGTAACCTCGTAATCCTCCACTCGCTCCTCTCGATATAGCTCAGGAGGTGGAGCTATACCTCAATCAGCATGAATGCAGCATGAACAAAGAAAAAATGGAGAGCTGAACATCCCACTCTTGTCCCTGTATACTTGTACTATTTAAACCCTCTCCAAGCTGTCAAACCCTAAAACCCGAAAAGAAAAGGCCGCCAGGCCTGCAATAGTCAGTGCGTAGGCATACATTTTACATTGGCAAATCTGCAACGCTTGTTGCGACAGCAACAAGAACGACCACAAGAGCCACCTACTCATAATGCGCGTTGCAGTGTGCTTAAGATTCAGGGAAGTGTTCAGCGGCATCTTCCGGTGTCTTCAATGCGCTCTATCTCGCTCTCTCGCTCTCTCTCTCTCTCTCTCTCTCTCTTTCTCTTTCTCTTTCTCTCTCTCTCTCTCTCTCTCTCTCTCTCTCTCTCTCTCTCTCTCTCTCTCTCTCTCTCTCTCTCTCTCTCTCTCTCTCTCTCTCTCTCTCTCTCTCTCTCTCTCTCTCTCTCTCTCTCTCTCCCCCCCTCTCTCTCTCGCTCCCTCTCGCTCTTTCCCCTATCTATCTTAGGAGTTTGAGCAATTGGAAATACCATTCCTGGGGATCTTACGATTCAGTGTAGAAACCCCCAGACCCTAATTTTTCTTCTAATTATTAAAGCCACTCCGTGAATCTGAGGTGAGGAAGGCGGATGGTGGCGTGGCGACCCCGCCCTGTTTTGTTCCTTCTCGGGGCCAAAACTGCGTCCTTTCGGTGTTAACTATATCGCAGGGTTTAGACCTAGACTTGTAGCTATGTTGTGGAAACTTCAAAGAATAGTGTGATCTCTCCAGGATTACATGAGCCCGCACATGGTCGAGACTTGCACTTGCTCGTAGAGGAGAGAGACAGACAGAGAGAGAGAGAGAGAGAGAGAAAGAGAGAGAGAGAGAGAGAGCGCGAGCGGTAACGAAGAGATACCAAACGAGGCTGAAAAAACCGACTGAGAGATGATATTGAATAAGTAAATAAACAAGTAAGTGTTTGTAACTGTATATGTATGTGTATATATATATGTGTACAAATGTACAGATATAAAGCTGATGGGAAAGCAGTGAGGTGAGCAGATGGGTAGGTGTGAGGGAATGTCATTACGCATGCAACTGCACAGATCATCACATGTCTGCATTTGTATTCAGGTGCAAGTTCTACCACACGGTGTATGGTTTGGGTTTAGGGTTTAGCATATGTAAGTACATGCAATGCATCATTCACGTTTGTGATTGTTTGTGCATACGTTCTTCCATGCGCATGATTTCCCTCGTCTTGGTGTCAGTCACTCAGTCAATGTCAGCATTAGCCCTGTTGGCCGGTATTCTCATCGACAGATTATGTAGTTTCGAGCATTTGGCTGCTGGTTGGATTCGTGATTCGTGGCTCGCCTAGTTTAATGATGGAAAACTTGACTTGGCCATCCGCTCTTTCGCCACTCACTGACGGAATCGCCTACAAATGGACATGACGATCTCCCTCGTAATAGTGATGTTAGCAGCAACTGTTATAGTGCAATAGCAATATTTTAGTTAATCATCGTATTAGCATTCGTGATATTCCTAATTATGATACCAATGGTTCACCCCTTGCTCTACTCCCAGACCACTATGCGTGACAGGTAACCTGGGGTGACAGCGATTGCGGCGGGGACAGCTCGCACGTGCTGCCTGGCCAAATGCTCGAAATACTAAACCCTGCAAATTGCATCCCTAAACCCTCAAACCTCCACCGAGAGATCCTGCAACCTAGACCCTAATGCAAAAGCCGGGCTCTGCGTTTCATGCGCAATATGTGGAGCTGGGTGAAACCGTAAACCCAAGAAGCCTTAAACCGTATTCCTCCGGGAAACCTTGTTTGAGGCCCACCCCATGTAGAACGTTGCACAGCATGCCTTCAGGCTTTTTAGGGTTTGAATTTTCGGATTTCGAAGTTTAAGTTTTGGGCTTGGTGGTTTAGGGTTGGGGGCGGCAGCTTGTAGGATTTAAGGTGCGCGTTGGTGTTTGGGATTTCAGGTTTCATGCCTTTTTGGAGTAGGTTTGGGCTTTGGGGCCTTAACCCTAAACCCTAAACCCTATACTAGTAGTAATAGCAGCAGTAGTAGTGCTAGTGGTAGATGTTGAACTTCGGACGATTGACTTGAAGATCTCTTGTTTTCGACAAGCGTCCGGCATGACCTCTCGACTTACCTTTGGTTAGTAGAGAATGGAAGCATGGTAGTAATAGTAGTTATAGTTGTACCCCTTTCCTCCATTCCCTACTAACCAAAGGTAAGTCTAAACCTGAGTCCAAAGCCGTATGAGCCTGAATAATTACCTGTACTATTTTTGAGGGCTCCTTAGTATAATGATAGTATAACGGGCCGCAACACCTTATTGTAATTATTGAGGCCCCTACATTACACGGAAAAGGCGAAGATTTCCAGCCCTAGAAGTCCTCCACACCCAAGGCCCAAGCTCCGTCGTGACACCAAAGCCTAGAAGCCTAAACCCAAACCCTAAACCGGCCCTAAACTCTAAACCCTCCACCACAAACTGAATCTAATGTCCCAAACCCTTTAAGCCCTAAAGCCCACCAACACAAGTTGAGTCTAATGCCCTAAACCCTAAAACCTTCACCCCAAAATTGAATCTAATGCCCTCAGCCCTCAACCGTAAAATCCGCAGGCAGGATCAGCTGGCGGAGCCCTGGCCGGCAAGAGCCAGGGGGAGGTTGAAGGGTTCCTTCAATAGGTTTAGTGGTTTCTTAGGAAGGATTTAGGGTTTCCTTTAAAGGGTGTTCCTTCGAAGGGTTTAGGGTTCTATAGGGTCTTTAGGGTTCAAGGTTTTACGGTTTAGGGTTTTAGGGTTTAGCTTTTTAGGGTTTGGCTTTTAGCTCTTTAGGGTTTTGGGCTTTGAGGTTTAGGAGTTCAGGGTGTATTATTTTAGGGTTTCGGGGTTTCTAAAAAATTAGGGTTCAGGCTCCTTCGAGTACTAGGACCCAGAGTAGGCCCTTATTACCCTTTTTTAGGGTTCAGGTTCCCTTATAAGCCCCTTTAAACCAAAAAGGGCATCCTTTTTATGCCTGGGTTACTCTTGGGTCTAGAGTATACTCTCAATCCTTGAGCTCTGAAAAACCCAAAGTCCGAAGCCCTCCCGTCCGAATGCACTCAGCCCGAAACCCTACGAATCCTCCAGTTCGCGGGTTCAGGGAACCCTAAACCCCATCAAGTCTAAACTCCTATACAAACCCTAAACTCCAAAACCCTAAACTCTAAACCCTAAGACCCTAAACTCCTAAACCCTGAGAAACCCTATAGGGATTTGGGTTTAGGATTTAGGGTTTAGCGTCTGAGCCTCCTGAGGATGTCACGCAGATCGCCACCACGGAGGGCGCCTTTGCAGCTCTCACCGCCGATGAGTCCGTCGTCACCTGGCTTTGGGAGTCTAGGGTTTTTTTGGGGTTCCTTTAAAAGGATCTATAGGGGGATCTACAAGCGGATCTATAAGGGGCTTATAGGGTTTATAGGGTATTAGAGTACGGTCTGAGTCTTGAGGGTTTAGGGGTTTAGTGGTTTTGGGGTGGTTGGGTGAATGGGGGTTTAGGGGTTTAGGGGTTTTGGGTTTAGGGGTCTGGGGTTCAGGGGTTTAGGGTTCAGGAAGCACATGGGTAGTTTTCCAGATAAGGGTCCCCTTTCAGGTCCCCAAGCGGTCCGCTGCCGAGGTTTATGATTCGTTCGGCTACGGCTCAGCTAAAGACAGAAGCTCAAGCCTTTAAACCCAAATTAAACCCCATTGCCCTGAGAATCCCCCAAACCAAAGGGGTTTAGGGTTTAAGACTTCGAGTCTGGGGTGTAGTACGGGTGTAGGGTGGTTTTGTGAAGAGTTTAGGGCTATGGGCCCTCAACCCCACCCTTGGCCTGCCGGGAAAAGTGGGTGCCGGCAGGTTACTTACCTTTGGTTAGTAGGGAATGGGAGAGCGGCAGTAATAGTAGTTATACTTGTACCCCATTCCTCCATTCCCTACTAACCAAAGGCAAGGTTAAGGCAAGCCTCTAGTTGGTTTCTTGTCGCTACGGGTCGTGTAGTTGATCTCAAACCTCGGCAGCACTGTGCCATGTTTTCCATGGCGAGCCAGACAACCCTAAAGCCCTAAACCGTAAACGCATAGCCAGCGAATCAAAGCCGGCGTTACCGGTCTAGTTCAACAGTAGCACACTGCCATCATGCAGCATTACATTTGTTTGCCGGCCCTTTTCTGAAGCAACGCCGAGCTGCCGACTAGGGATATCCCATATAAACCCCCTTATAACGAAGCCCAATAAGGTAAGGATATCCTTATAGAATGCTCGTACTTATGTGCCTTTGGGGTCCCTTAATAGCAACCCGAAACCCCACACCCAGTGACTGCTCCCGTTCCGCCAGAGGTTTGTTGGGGCCATCGCCAGTGGGGTGGAGACTGCTCCCAGGTCCAGAAATACCTGCAGCTGGGCTGCCTTGTAAGGTTTAGGGTTTATTGTTTAAAATAGGTTGCATTTGCCTTTAAAGTCAGGTACTATCGGGGCCTTAAAAATTACCTATACTATTTTGGGGGGGTTCCTTTTAATTGTAGTAACTATAATGTTAGCCTTTAAAGGAACCATGGGCTCCAATTACCTAAACAGTATGTTACTGGGGTATATAATATATGGTTAGTAACCTACTATTAAGGTAACTGGAGCCGTAGGGTAAGGTATGGACGTTATGTCGGGTTGGGCACTTAAGGATTGCTTCTTATGTCAAAATACTATGCCGTGCACACACGAGCGAATGCCTTAGAAGTTGCACTCAGCACTTGCTTTCTGAGAATGTGGTGTCCTCGACATCCAGCCCCTCAGAACGAGAGTGTCATTCAAGGAACCTGTTCTAGATGTGTTTCCCCTTTGTTGGCATGTTTGCAACTACGGAACCCTTCTTGAAAGATTGCCATTTTGTCGGACGATAGTTTGAGCTGTGCCTCCTTAGCCCATAGCCACGCATATGTCATTGTCCTCATGCACCCGTACCTGTATGTATACACCAGTTTATGCTTTCATACTTGCCCATCTCCCTACACTCACCCGCACGCACAACCAGATGTTGCGGGCTTCACATAATAACAGTTTGCTTGTGCGCATGGAAACCTTGAACATCAGACTGAGTGCAACGCACTCGTCACGGTTGTTGCATCTCCGCAGGTGCGCGGTGTGCAGTTCATGGTGTCGACATGATGTGTTTCATGTCTACTGAGCCTGGCTTAGTACATGCGTCGTCTTGTTTCTCTGCGGCTTTAGGAATTAAGTTTAGCGTTTATGATTATAAACCCCAAGCCAAAAACTAACAACCCCGGGTCTGTCAGTGACCTCAATCCTAAACCCTACAGCGTAAACCCCTAAGCGCCCGAAGTCCGAAGCCCTGAACCCAAGTCTTTTTCGCTCGGGGTTGCCAGGCCGCCACGATATATTGAAGGGCCCCAAACAAGCACATAAGCAAAAATGAGGAAAGGGATATCCCACATAAAACCTCTTATGAGAAAGCCCAAGGAAGGTAGGGACATCAAGGCAGAATGCTCCCCAAAGCCTAAACCTAGACCCCAAGCCCGGTAAACTTTGGAAACTCTCCCTGCCATAATCGTTTTTGAGGTTTCGAGGTTTGGAAGCTTAGCTCTCCCTATGTCCCTATGCGCACAGCGAATTGTGGGGCCTGAGGCAAAACGTCAAGCAGATCAAAGGCAAGCAGTGTTTCTTATTTGTGGCCGATGGCAGATGTTTGCCTCTGCTTGTAGTTGAGAGGTGTTTGCACGCTGTTCCCAGAAATCTTAGATATTCGCCTTGGCGTCTGTCCTAAAGCCCTATCATAGTAGCCCTCATAGAGCACTCGTCGAAACCTGATTGTACCCGAAACTGTAAAACCCGGACAGGAACGTCCTTATAAACCCCAAACCTTTAGAAGTTTTTGTTTTGTGGTGCAGGACTAAACCGAGAGTTGTGTCAGCGCCTCGAGTTGAAGTCTGCCGACGACCGAATTTGTTTGTGACTCTAGGGGCTTAGATTAGATTCACTAGGACCCAGAGTAGGCCCTTATTCCCTTTTTAAGGGTTTGGGTTCCCTTATAACCCCCTTTATCCCAAAAAGGGCACCCTTTTTATTCCTAGGTTACTTTTGGGTCTAGTTCAGGGCGCAGCACAGAATGCCGTCTTCAGATATTGAGCTGAGGATTGGGAAGGGAGTGGCGCGAAAGTTCGCAAGCACCTACCCTTGTCATCACGCTGCGATCCTACATCCCAATTCCGAAAGGGCTACTTTGGACCGTACTTACCTGGAGTCTCCAATCCAGTTCCTTTTATTGCTTAGCCAGTTTTTCAGGCTAGGATCCTAACAGATATAGAATTGGTTAACCAAAAAATTGAAGTGAAACCAGCATCAATCCCCACAACCCCATAGACCCCGAACCCCAAACAGCAACGCTCAGACCGCAAATCCCCAAAGGGATTAGGGTATCGACAACATGTAAAGACCCGCAAGCAAGCCCTCCAAACCACATGAAACCCCTGGAGTTCACGTGAGCCTTTTTTGCAAGAAGACCGCCGCCCCCGCCGCCGCCAACAATGGGCTTTCAAGGTTTGCGGTTAAATGGGGCTTAGGCTTTGACGGTTTAGGGGCCCTTTCTGGTTTTATGGTTTACCCTAAACCCGAACCCCTACATTATACCCCAAACCCTTAAACCCCAAACGCCCAAACCCTAAACCCGGAAGTCCTGAAGGCACCAACTTTGCATTCGCGGCGGTGCGCTCCGATGCATCAGTTCTGACCTGGGGCTTTGGCCTTTGTGGTGGGGACCTAAGATGGCAGTGTATTTATTCCTGTAAGGGCATCGTTAAAAGGATCCTAAAACGGTTGCAATTCGGGCTGCTATAAGGTTTAATTACTATGTTCATGTGCGCTTGCTTCAAGGGTTTCTTCATTGGTTCCGTAAAGGATTTCTTTTAGATTTCCTGGAGGGGTTCTTTAAATGGTTGTAGCAGGGGTTTAGGGTGTCACAGTATCTATGCTGGCGTGGGATACCATATAGTTAACATTGTAAAGCTGTGCAGAAGCTTCTGCAAGCGTACCATGCAGGTTACCGTCGTTGCGAATATGTTTCCAGACGAATTCCCATAAGGCTTGCTGCATGAGGTGCTGCAAGATACAGGTCCTAGTATAGGTCCTGTGGCTTGGTTTCGTTTGCGCTCATGGTCTCCCCTTTCTTGGAATCCTTGTTATGATTTCCTTGTTATGACCCTTAAACATGTTGGTTTTCTAATATGGAGCCCTTCTAGGACCCTTAATTAGCAACCTACTAGAACAATTCTTAACGAACTCAAAAAGATCGCTTAAAAGGAACCCTGACGGGGATGTTCCGAGAAACTCCAGAAACCCAGACCTCTGCAGAAGTATGGGAGTTTCAGCGGGGTACCCTAGGTCGGGCTCCTTCAACATGGATCCTATGTTTTACTGGGCTTTGGAGTACCATACTTTAATATGTTGCTTAAAGGAACCATTATGAAATGAACGTTTATACTTTTTCTCCTTTGTTACTTAAAAGCCCAGTTTAAGCCTCATTTCAGAAGCACCTTTGCAGAGGCCCCATCAAGGTAAGATTGCAAGGGGAATTCAATCCTGGCGAGATCCTAATCGGACCAAGTCAGTCGGTAGACGTTAACAGGTGCTAGGGACCAAAAACGCGCATGAGCATAAAGCACTGAAGACTGCTACTTTTGTCATGGGACATTTGGCTGAACATGTTGTGTTCCCGTGCCTTTCTGAGCTCCTTGTAAGGCGGGGACAGCGCCTCTGTGCACAACTCGCTCCGCAATGTGAACTCACTGCATGCTGCTTGGTCAAAGTAACGTTAAGCCCTGAATCCCTGCAACTCTAACTCCATTTACCCATCGTGGGCGAAATTCACTTGCGTGCTGCTCTTTAGTTTCGGCTCTCTGAATTGAGACCCGGCGCTACATTGTAATCCCTATATATATATATATATATATATATAAGCCGTCGGCTTTGAGGCAGTTTAGGCATTGCAGGCGCCTTTGCCGTGGCCTGTCGGGGTTTGGGGTTTGAGCCTCACGAGGGACTGCGGTTTCATCTAACCCAAGAGCTGCAGCAAACAACTAACCACATAGTTAGTATGCATCCCAGCAACCCAGTAGTTCGGTATCTGCAGCCCTAGGGCAAGGTCGGATTTAGGTTGTTTTTGTGCCTTCGGGGCTTCCGGAGTTTTTCGAGATCCGTACACCGGAGTCCCCGCAAGGGTTCAGGCATGACGACTTGAGGCTTTACCTTGTTGCCGTGAAGGTGATTATTAGGGTCAGCTGTGGCGTGAGAAGCAAGGTATGGAATTGCTTGTGATTGGGTTTAGGGTAATGCGCTTGTGGTTTTTATACATACCGGAATTCGACTTTGAGTGATGCTAGCCCCATCTTCGTTGCATGCCTTGTAGCTACACCGGATGAGCTTATCCTGAGAATGACCCTGCTTGCCCCTTAATTGTCCCTTAACTGTAGGCATGGCAGGGCTCGTGAAGATGAGCGTAGTGATGCAGGTGTAGCCCACCCACCCTGGGCCCCCAATCCCTAAACCTTAACCCCAAATAACCATTCTCAGGACTTATACGCATCCAGCAGGGTTTCTTATGCACGCCAAACACCCTAAGCCAACAACACTAAAGCAGGCCTTGCTGTTGCGCTTTCGCGTAGTTTTGCTGAACAGGTGCAGTACACATCGAAAATCCTGCTGTAGAAACAAGCACGCTAAAACCTGCAACTCTAGCGCCCTGACATGCACCTGCACAAGCAATACTAAGCAAACACCACGAACCTGACCCAGACCCCCCAACTACCCTCTACTGTACCCAAATCCCCACTAATTATTAAGGACCATAAGGGTTCCATTAAAGGGCCATTGGGGCGTCCTGGGAGACAGAAGAAAGCACGCACGAAACCCGGCAAGCCTGCTAGCCCTTGGACAGGGAGCCACAACCACGCCCTCAAAAGAACCATTTTAGGGTTTAGGGCCCACAGAGACAGAAGACACAACAAAACAACAAATTCAAAGTTTACAAATGTGGCAAAACCAAAAACAAGTGTTGAAGCAGATTACCTTAAATCCCTAAATCCAGAAACCTTTAACCATACCTTAACCATTAACCCTACAAACCCTTAGCCCTTAACCCCATAACAGCAAACCGCGATCCCTAAATCCCTACGTCCCCACATCCGTAAGCCCCTAAACTCCTAAACCCATAAGCTAAACCCTATACCCCTAATCCCTGAACATCCCTTAACCCTAAATCACTAGATGGGAGTTTCCGAAAAAAGGGGACCCCAACATAGTACCCTATATAGTAGGATTTCGTTTACAAGGACCCCAAATAAGGTACCCCTAACTTTTGGAAACTCCCAGATCCCTAAGCATGGGTTATAAGTAGGGTAACTATACTTACTATACTTATAACTCATATTAGGGGACTTATAAGCCCACTTATAACTACCCTTGAACCTCCAAGTAAGCCTGAAGCCCAAGCTACTACAGGGGCCTTACGAATTGCCTATCTTTTTTTCTTTTTTTTTTTTTTTTTGGGGGGGGGGGGGGGGTTAATTATTGTACTTGCAGTATAAGGGGCCCCAAAACTCCAAGAGAAGTGAGGCGACGGCCGGGGCCTTTGCAGCCCTTCGTCGGGATGGCTCGGTGGTCTGCTGGGGCCATCGGAGGCGTAGGGTGTGGAAAGGGTTCCTTTAACGGGTGCTATAGGATTTAGGGTTTGGGCTTTAGGCTTTAGGGTATAGGGTTTAGGGTTTAGGCTTTGGGGTTTAGGGTTTAGGCTATGTGGTTTAGGGTTTGCGGAAAAAGTTTTAGGGTATAGGGTCAGGGTTTGGGGTTCCTTTAAAGAGCGCAAAAGGGTTTAGGGTTTAGCGTTCCTTTAGAGGTTACTATAGTTTTGTATGATAGGGCTCCTTCAAGGGTGCTATAGGGTTCTATAATAGGGCTACATTAAAGGGTACTATAGGGTTCTATGATAATGATAATGATAGGTGTCCTTTAATGGTACAGTAGATTTCTATAGTAGGGTTCCTTTAAAAGGTTGCACTTAAGGCTTCCTTGAAGGGGCTCCTTTAGAGGGTTCCTTTTCTAAATTGTTCCTAAAGGGTTCCTTTGAAGGGTTCTTCAAGGGTTTAGGGATTCAGGGATTTAGGAGTTTCGGCTTCCAACCGTTGCCATAATACGGATATTTATGCGGCATCCCTAGAAAGGTTTTAAGGGTCTAGGTTTAGGGTTTAGGGTCTAGGTTCCAGGATGTCATGGTTTTGAAGCTTAAGGTTTAGGGTTTACAGGGGTTTTAGGGCTTAGAGTTTAGGGTCCGGGTTTGGGGTTGCTGCGACGTTGTTAACTGGCATTAGAGGTTTGGGTTTGTTGCTGGTAAGCTGAGCTCTTTCCGGCTTAGTTTTTAGTTTTGATGATATAGTTTGTCCGTTTAGCCGTGTTCGTACTTGCTGTCGTTTGGAACTTTTTCGGTGGGGCGGGTGGGGATGGGGTTTCACTAGAGTTCGCGTGGGGTTTGGAAGCTGTTATTTTTGGACTTATAACGTGTAGGGACAGGTCAGAGTTTTGGATTGGTGGATGTTGGGAATTTGGGCTCTTAGTTCTGGGTTCGGGCTCCTACTTGTTTGAGGCTTTAGTAATAGTTAGCATAGGGTTGCAAGGTTTCGATTGATCGATGGCTGAACTGTCGGTTCTAAACCTGAAAGGAGCCCTATCATAGAACGCTATAGTCCCCTTAAAGAAGCCTTTTTCCTATAGTACCCTTAAAGGAGCCTTATTATAGAACCCTATAGTAAAGTACCCTGAAAGGAGCCTTGTTATAGAAGCCTATAGCACCCTTAAAGGAGTATACTACCCTTCAACCGAAGCCGGGAGCTGATCACAGGCACGGTGGCGACGTTAAGCTGGTGCAGCAACAACTTCACAAGGTGGATCGCAGCCCGGCAGATTGCAGCTGGTGTAGTAGATTAGGTAACCTTTAACCTTTTGTTGAGTAGTATACTCCCTATACAATCCCTATATAGCCAAAAAGGCTAACCTTTAGTTCCCCATGATACCCGACAAGCAGGCTGGGGTTTAGGAGTTTAGGGTTTAAGGCTTAGTGGGTACGTTCTGTGCTTATGTTTTCTGGCTTATGGAAAGTCGGAACACCACAAGGATGTTTTGTTTACGAGGATTTCGGGCTGTGGGTTGTCGTGGTGTGCTGCATGCGCACAGGGTGTCGGGGCGTATGGGGACCCCTTAATGGGCTATATAATGGGTATATAATAGCTATATATTAAGGGTATATGCCTAGGGGTCCTTAATTAAGGGTCCCTTATGTGAGCGTCCGTGGGTGTAGGGTTACCCGGTGGACAGACGTGCCCCGAATCATGTTTACCTACTTACCTTAACCCGCCACAACCTCCTTGTTCAGTTTATATAATAAGGTCCTTATATATTGCATAATGGGGCTTAATAGGGTCTATAATGAGATCCTGCAAAAGATGGGTTATGGTAGTTTAACGTACGCCCTATAAGCCCTGAACCATATGACCGGGACATCTGTTTCGTGTTCCTTACCCCCCTCGACCCGATATGTTGCATGTACATACAGAACCGTATATCACAGAGGCTCACCATTGAGGAGCATAAGCGTGTCTATTGCGGGTTCCTGAAACGCCAAACCCCCAAGACCCCCAAAACCCAGACCCTCAGAGACCATCCGGCTGAGGGATTCGGGCATCGGAGGCGGCTTTTGCGGCTCCCTGTGGGCAGTTCAGCCGGTGTGAAGATTTGGAGTCTCGAACACTTCAGGCTGCTTACTTGGAGGATCATGGGACTTATTAACTAAGCTTATAAGTACCTTAGTTGGGGTTATAAGTAGCTACAAGTACAGTTAGCCTAATTATAACCCCAGTTATTCAGTCCCAAGATCCTTTAAGTAGGGTTTGGGGATTCTTTTCGTGGGGCTTTGCAGCCTTGGATACTTCAGGCTTCAGTGTTCTAGAATCTCCCTTCGCTCCCTTGCTTTATCTCACCCGGCGGGAAGTTGACTAGAATGCCCAGTAGTACCCTTATTCCCTTTTTGTAGTCCTAGATTCCTTGTATATAAAGTTACGCAATACCAAAACGGCAGCCCTTTTTATTCCTAGGTTACTGGGCATTCTAGTTGAGGGTGTACGGGGTCCAAGTGACATGCTTAGAGGATCAAGGGACTTAGTGACTAGGGTTATAATTAAGGTAACTATACTTAATTACATATAACCCCAATTAAGGTACTTATAACCATACTTACTAAGTCCCATGATCCTCCCATTATAGACCCCTTTTAGATCCCTTAAGGAACCCTATTATAGAACCCTACAGTACCCTAAAAAGGAACCCTAAACCCTACTTACTAAGTCCCATGATCCTCCAAGTGCCGGGTTTGGTGTCCAGGGCTTTGGGCAACCCAAGGGATGCAAAACGACAAGAGTTCTGCAGGCATGGTTTAGGGTTTAGGGTTTAGGGTTCAGGGTTTAGGGGTTTAGGGTTTAGGGGTTTAGGGTTTAGGGTTTAGGGGTTAGGGGTTTAGGGTTTAGGGTTTAGGGGCTTTAGGGTTTTAGGGTTTAGGGGTTTAGGGTTTAGATAGCCAATGGGGGGAACTTTAAACTTTTTGGCCTTATATATTTGGTCTATCTCAGAAAGTTTAAACTTTTTTGGGCCCGGTTATTGAAAGAGAGAGTTTCCAGATTCATGTCATGAGTCCTACGTCCAAGCCAGGGGTCCTACTAATGCGGCCTCATTAATAAGCCTGGGGGGGTATCTTAAAGTTTATTATGATGGCATCTTAAGAAGTAGCCCCAAAATAGTGTTGGTATCTTTTTAGTTCGCTACAATATCATTTATCCTTTCTAGCCTTCTCTAGTCTATGGGTCTTGTGAAATTCGGTACTCTCTCGATCCGGCTTATGAAATCATACAACTCCGTCTAGAGAAGCCAAGCATCCTCTTGAGAGTCAAGGAGGCTCCTGGAAGCTTTTTCGAGCATTCTCTAGGATGCCCAGTAGTACCCTTATTCCCTTTTTGTAGTCCTGGGTTCCTTATAAAGTTACCCAATACCAAAAAGAGAGCCCTTTTTTGTTCTTAGGTTACTGGGTATCCTAGTCGAGCATTCTCGAATCCCTAAAAGTGATGTTGTCGGTAGCCCCTGCATTCGGTGGCCCTCGCGGAGAACTCCAACCCCTGCACTGAGGCGATTCGTGCAGACAACACGGTCGTTGTTTGGGGAGATCCCGATCTAGGCGCCGCTTTTGCATGCCTAATCTTAAGGTGGTTGAGGTGTGTGGTCTATTAGCACACCCTCTTCTATACCCTAAATACCCAGTATTCAGAACCATAAGAGGTCCATTGAAGGACGCTTGCGGGGTGCCTTCTGAAGCAAGGGCTTTAGGGTCAGATTTAGCTGAAATTACCAATCTCTTTACTCGACTAGTCGGGCCTGAGGTTAGAGTTATAGAGCCATGAGTGCTGCGTTTGGTAATGCTCCATCGTCAGCTCTTGAATCAAATCGTCCCTCATGCACATGCATCTGTATGCTGTCTCATACGAACACACACAAATGCTGCACAATTGTCGGGTCGTGAAGCAGTCACAGGCATGGAAGCTCAGCAAAGCACGTCAGCCAAGTAGGAGAAGTAATCTGATTACAGTCCAAGATTGCTACTTAAAGGGTCATGGGACTTAATCACTAGGGTTACAATTAGGCTAAATATACTTATGGCTGCTCATAACCCCAATTAAGGTACTTATAAGCTTAGTTACTAAGTCCCATGATCCTCCAAGTAGCAGGACGGGCGAAGGTTCAGGAAGCCGGCCCCTAAACCCTAGAGTCTAGCCCTAAAGCTTACTTGACCCTAGCGCCTACTATGGATTCGCAACGGTTTTGCAAGACTTTCAATCCTGATTTCCCCGGCACCCCAAGCTGTTCCTGCAAGTCGGAATCGTTGCTTTTTTTGGGTCCAGGGTCTAGGCTTTCGGGTTAGGTTCATCGGCTTTGCCGGGGCTTAAAGGCTTGGGTTTAGAGGGATTAGGGCCCAGGGGTATCGGGGTTTAGGAGTTGGGAAACCCGAAACTTGCCCTAAACCCAAAACCCTAAAACGACAAAATCGCAAATCCTGAAACACGGGGCCTTTTAACAAACAAGCAAGCAGCCAAACCCGACTGCTGAACCCTGATTACACCCTGAACCCTGTAAACTTGAAACCCTTACCAAAGGGGCCTAAAGAATTACCAATGCTATTTTTGGGGGCTCTTTTTTACAATTATGGTATCAAAACCCTATTCTGATTAACAAACACCCCTATATTAACCCCAAAGCCTGAATGCTACAGTCATGACCCATCCTCTGGAGGAGGTGACTGCTCGAGGGTTCAGGACCAACTGCGCTACTGGGCCGCAAGGTTCTAGGGTTTGGGTTTAGGGTTTTGGGTCTAGGGTTTAGGCCGTAAACCCTAGACATCAAACCCCAAACCCAAATCCTAAACCCCTAAACCCTAAACCCTAAACCCCAAACCCTAAACCCCAAACCCAAATCCTAAAATCAAGACCCCAAGGCTGGTGCAGGGGCCTGAAAACTTACCTATACTACTCGTAGTTTGGGGGGTTCCTTCTAATAATGATAGTATGATGGGCCAACACCCTATTCTAATATTTTAGGGCCCTTATATTCAACCCTAAACTTTATGATTTCGGTCGTGGGGTCTTGATTTGCGGTGTTAGGGTGGAGGGCTCAAGCCTGCGAGCCTGAATCAACGTCTAAAGCTCAAGGCGCTGAGCCCTTTACTACAAACCTCTCGACCTCTGAACCCCTCGACTGCGTAAGCATCAAAAGCCTAAATCCTGCTTAGGCCCACAAGAAAACCACCATTTTCGAGGGTTTGTAGAAAGTCAAAATCCCTACTCGCTGGCCGCGCTGGTTGTATGATCTTCTGTCTACACATGGTGAAGTAGATCCACATAGCAGCTCTGAGGTATGTGACCGTGCGAAGGTGATGACAGTTTTGGGACATCAGCCTCAGAACCTGATCAAATGGAAAGCCTTTGCTGACGCTTAGTGGCCAAACCGTTTGGGTTTTGAAGACAAAGAACTTTTCCGGCCCAACGTACAGAAGGCAACTGGAGATGACTTCTACCAGTTCTTCCATTGCCATATGACATCCTTACAAGGCCTTCTTGGAAATATGGAAGCCGGTATGATGATGCTTCCTTTCGCGAATGACAGATTATCACTTCCTGAAGATTTCCCAACTATGCCTTCTTTTAACTGCTAAAGCATACTCATGTGCAGTTCACTACCGAAGAGATTGCAGTGCCATACGCTGCGTTGCTCCATCATTCCAAGCAGCAGCCCTCCAGTTCGCTTCTACAGCTACACATCCTGCTTGGCTTCAGGGGGGGGGGGGGTAGGGCTCATGCCGTTAATGGATTAGGGTTTGGGGTTTAGGGCCTGCGAAGGTTTCTATAAGATTGTCCGGTGAGAGTTTAGGCTTTAGGATTTGGGGATGGTTTTCCTCCGGGGTTCTCATCATCGATGACTAATTATTCAGGAACCCCGCAGAAAATTGGACGCCCGAAAGGTTCGTGACATGATGAAGTGTTTTAGGGAAGTGCAGGGTGTTGGGTTCAGGATTTGGGATTTAGGGCTTAGGGCGTATAATTTGTGGGATTAGATGATTAGATGAGAAACCCTTAAGGGAACCGACCGAGCGGACTGAGGAAGGTACAACTATTCGGGTCCGTAAACCACGCAATGTGGATTCAGGTTTTGCGATAGGTCTTTTTTCCCACAAACGACAAGCATAGGGCCTATACCCTAAACCCTAAAACTCTGAACCCTAAACCCTGAACCCTAGAAATTGACAAGTTTAAGGCCAACTGTAGGGGTTAAGGTTCAAGTGGAAGCATGCGTAATTGCCACACTATTCCTTGGGTTTCCCTCACGTTGTCTGACAGAATACACGCCAAAATACCTTTTTAAATATTGAGACTCCCCAAAAATGACCGTTTGCTCAGGCTTTAGATCCCTGAACCCCGAGGTGACGTGGTGGAAATCGCCGCCACAAGCCGGGCTTTTGCTGCCAGGTGGGCTCCAATCATTAGTTGTCATGATTAGCAGTCGCACCCCCACTCTGATTCTTGGCACGCAAGTGCAGATTTCAATTGCACGTCTTTCGAAAGAGCAGGCAGGCCGTACTAAAGCTCCCGGGCCCGAAAACCCTACGCCCAAAAACCCTATTCTAATCATTAAGGTTAAGGCACCTATATTACCCCCAACCCCCCATGATGCCGACGAGCTCGACCCCTGCGCAGCTCTTGTCTGCTGCCAGGAAGAGGGATGGCAGCGTGGTGACGTGGGGCTTTGACCAGTGCCTCGGACCTCATGTTACCCGGACACATGCAAGATTTTGCGCGTAATTGTTTATGTGTCAGTGTATACATACATATATATATATATATATATACATATGTATAAACATGGCTGTATATATAGACTTATATTTACTTATGTATGATAACCTTACATAATTATCATTACTGCGCGTATACATATATGCACATTTTAATTTCGCAATATATCTTAATGTATCTACGCAAATGTGTATATATATATATACATAACTCTATATACACAACATTGATATATGCACTCATGTATTCATATTCATATTCATATATACATGGTTGTATATGAATATGTGTGCATACACGTGTATGTATGTGTGTTTGTTCGTTTGTTTGTAATGCAATGTAATGTAATGTAATTATATGTAAGTATGTATGTATGTATGTATGTATGCATGTATATCGTCATGTCCAACAACATCCATGCTTGCATGCAAAAGCGTTCCTATTCTGAATAGGTTCGCTGCTTGATTTTGCATGAAGAGGGCCAGGCGTCTACGGATTTCGGAGCTTGGGGTCTGGGCTCTCAATCCGTGTCAAGCCAGTAGGGTTTAGGGTTTAAGGTTTATGGTTTAGGGTTTAGGTTTCAGGGTTTAGGGTTTAGTAAGGTCTAGGGTGTAGGCGTTCAAGGTTGGCTTCACATTGAAGTATGAACGGTTAACCATATTCTCGGTTGAGGTTTGTTGATAGAACTCTGTTCTACAAGAGACCCACAGGTTCGGTTGACATGACTATATATCATAAGAGACACCAAAACCCCATTTTGAATAGAGCGGCCCCTATTCGAACAGTTCAGGGTTTAGTCGTGAGGTCTTTGGGTCGGTTTGGCTGAGAGAGCTTGGGCGGTTTAGGGTTTTGGATGTTACGGGGTTTTTGTTTTTTCAAGTGGCCGTGTATGAAAACAAAGCACTGTAGTCTGTCGTTGATCTGTAAAAGTGTGAGCTCGCTGATCTGTACACCTGGATGTATGAAATATTATTAAAGATCGCTACAAACAGTCATATATAGATATGCCCGAAGGGAAACCCTAAACCCTAGATTGTAAGAGCGTTTTGGTCTTCTTGCTGTCGCACTTAAGGTACGGTGGTGACAGCTCCAGTGTCCAAAGCAGGCTGAAGACGATCCAGCTCATTGCAAGCATCTCGCTCGCCCCATTTCAAAGGCTGATAGTCTCAGACGACGTCGTTTTGGGTGAGTTATAGAAACAAGGACGCTCAGTAGTACCCTTATTCCCTTTCTGTAGTCCTAGGTTCCCTAGAAAGTTACCCAATACCGAAAAGGGAGCCCTTTTTATTCCTAGGTTACTGGGCATCCTAGGAAAGGTATGTCGGGGATCCCTATGGCCCAATGGTGTTATGAGTACGATAGCCACCAGCAGGTACTGCTCTTGTTGCCACCAACGCTATCGAGGGCCCGTATTGCATGGAAGCCCAAATTACGCGAGTGTGCACCGCACTTTGAAGCAGTTTGGGGACCCAAAAAGCACATAAGCATAAGCATTTTATGGTGATATCCCTACCATATTGGGCTTCTTTATAAGGGGTATTTTGATGGGATATCCCTATCCCATGTTTGCTTATGTGCTTTTTTGGGGCCCTAAGTACGCATCCGCAGCATGCGCCGAACACGAGGAAGTCGATGAGTGCTGTTCAGAAGTTGCTTGATCACAAGTGTTTCAGGACCTTGAAGCATGTTACAGTTTTGGTAGGGTTCCGCATGGCGCCAAAATAAAAATGCTCTTCTCTGAAGAAGAAATGTTGTGTCATACAGCTTTAGCATATGTTATTGTTTGACTTGAGGTACCACCGCCTGGTATCAATGTCTTCCCCACGAAACCAACATTATGGTTCTGGCCCACCGCTTATGAACACTCGGTTTAGAGTTCAGGTTTTGGGCGCGCGGGTTCATTCAAATGCGACCCCCATCAAAACCGCACAAAACCCTAATGATATTCTACAAGAACTAAAAACCGATGCGGTAAAACTTCAAAGCCGAATTCACAACTCTTTCAAGGCATATCCCGATTGCAAGCATGTCCAAAGCCCATAGAACCGCTTTCAAGACTTCTGGATGCCCCACGGGAGCACCCTAAACCCTAAAACCCTAAACTCCTAAACCCTGAGCTCTTAAACCCCAAACCCAAAACCCCTAACTCAAAACCCCAAACCCTAAACCCCAAATCCTAAACCACATCCCCAAGGCACCGGCACCTCCTTCGCCGCCAAGCGCTCCGATGGGAGAGTGGTGACCTGGGGCCACCCAGCGAGCCAGGGCTTTGGGATTTGTAATTAGGGGTTAGGGTTTAGGGTTTAAGGGTTTAGGGTTTAGGGGTTACCATAGGGCCTAAATCATTACCAACTGTTTTTGCTTGTTTTTGTTGTTTTTTTTTTTTGGGGGGGGGGGGGGGTCCTCATTGAAATTATTGTATAATGGGGCCCAAAACCCTATTCCAATTATTAAGGCCGGGTTAGTTAAGGGCTTTAGGGGGTTTAGACTAGAGGTTGAGGGTTTAGGGGAGGGTTTAGGGATGGCTTAGGGATTAGGATTGAGGGTCCTAAGCGCCGACACTGTAGAAAGGTTGGTTATTTTTTCATGAGATATAGTTACGACTTGGGGAAGCATCCTCTGTACAAGTTCTTAGGGCCCTTTGGTTGTTTGGGGTTTGGGGTTCAGGGTGTAGGGGGTTGGGTTGTAGGGTCCATGGTTTAGGGTTGACGGTGCGGCATGTAGGGGTTTTCGGGTTTAGCGTTTAAGATTTAGGGCTTGGGTGTTGTCAGGGTTTAGTAAGGCTGCAAGAGGAGATCGTTGCTCGGATGACAACAAGAGTCATCACTGAATCACCATGGGGCTTCAAGGTTTAGGGTATTACAGGAGTTGGTGTTCAAGTTCAATTTGGGGTGTTCGATGTGTTTGCGCAGTCATTGTTTTTTTGATTATGTCCAGGGTTCTGTGTTGTTGTTGTGGTTGTTGTTAGTTGTTGGTTGTTGCTTGTTATTGTTATGTTTACTGTTTGCTGTTTCCTGCTTGATGCTTGTTGTTTGCTGTTTGCTGTGTGTTGGCTGTTGGTTGTTTGTTGATGCTTGTTGTTTGCTGATTGTACTTTGTTCTTCCTCGGTTTTTCTTTGTTCTTTGTTAGCTGTTGTTGGTGGTGGCGGTGGCGGTATTGGTCCTGGTCTTGGTCTTGTTGCTGTTGTTGTTGTGGTTCTGGTTGATGTTGTGATTGTGGTTGTGGTTGTTGTTGTTGTTGTTGTTGTTGTTGTTGTTGTTGTTGTTGTTGTTGTTGTTGTTGTTGTTGTTGTCGTCGTGGTTGCTGTTGTGGTTGCTACTGGTTGTTGCTGTGGTTGTTGTTTTGGTTGCTTTTGTGGTTGTTGTTGTTGGTGATGGTAGAGGTGGTGTCGGTGTCGGTGTTGGTGTTGTTGGTGATGGTGATGGGCATGATGATGGTGATGGTGTTGGGTTTGGTGCTGTTGTTGTTGGCGTTGTCGTTTTCGCTAGCATTGGTGTTATTGGCGTTGCTGTTGCTCTTGCTTTTGCTATTGCTCTTGCTGCTGCTGTTGTTGCTGTGACGTGGTTGTTGCTGTCATTGCTGTTGCTGGTGTTGGTGCTTTTGCTGCTGCTTTCGATGTTTTTGGTCGTCGTGATCGTCGTGGCTGTTGTCGCCGTCGTTGCTGTTGCCGCGATTCTTTAGTATCTTCTTGTCGATATTTTCATCTTGGAGAAAGCACCTCATAAGACTAGCTAGCGACTAGCACCACATGCTGAGTCTCACGGTACTATAGGAGCCTTAATAACTACCTAAAATGTTTGGGGGCTCCTCATTACAAATATAACATAGTATAATGGGCCCAAAACCAAAACCCTATTCAATCTATTAAGGCCCCTACATTATAGAACCCTACTGTAGATCGCGTTTAAAGGAACCCTATTCTAATTATTAGCGCCCCTGCATTATCATTGCACACGCTATCTTTTCACAGCCGAATCTTTGCAGTGTGCTTAATCCATGGGATTCCTGCGTGCATCTAGATGCCAGAGACCAGAAACGTTAAATAGGGGCCTCAACAATTACCTATATAGGTTTCCTTTAAAGGGTTCCTTTAAAAGGGTC